CATGACAATGCCCAGTTTAATTTGTTTTTATTTCCTCTTTTTTCATGATGAATTCATTGCATACATATCTTGTTCCCTTTATCTGTTCATCTGCTGGTGGACATGCCAGCTCTCCAATCCCTGATTTCTGTGCACAGTGCCATAATAGACGCAAGTGTCAAACGTTTCTGCTGTATCCTGGTTTTGATTATTGACTTAGGTTACAGAGGCTGGAGTGGTAAAGCTGGATCGTGTGGTTGCTGTATTTTCAAGGTTGTTTTTTTTTTTTTTTTTAAGACCTTCTCTATTGGTTTCTACAGGGCTTGGACTAATTTATATTCCCACCTACAGTGTGTAAGTGTTCTCTCCCACCTCCAGTCTCACCAACATCTGTTATTTGTTTTCTTGAAGATAAACATCCTGACTGGAATGGCCCAGAATCTCAGTGTACCTTCTCATTGCTCATCAGCTTTATCAGATGCTTTTGCCTCTATGCTATAATTATCCATGTCAATGCTGGGTCATAGCAGACCCGCCACACTGTGATTGGACCAATAGCTTGTGTATTTCTGAATCCTCAGGGCCAGAAGAAGAAAGAAGCTGTACTGGCCTTTTAGTCAGGAGGAACTTTCCCAAGAGGGATGATTCTAGGGCATCAGAAAGCAGCTGGATTAGAACAAACGCCCATCAAGAATGACTTCTCAATAACAGCATCCCTTAGCTGTCTTCAGCCCAGGTCCTAGCCAGACCCTTCCCAGAGTCTGGAATCAGCTCACACATATCTATCTCCCCATATGCTGTTCTGCCTATCCATGAGGGTTCAGACTTTCCCTGAGACGAAATGACTAAGAGCTTTGTATTCAAAGTGTGGTCCCCAAACAAGAAACACCTACAAGAATTTAGGCACTAGCAAAAAAAGAGAAAAAAAAAAAACAGAGTCCCGGGCTCTAAGATATTCTGATTCCAAGTCTTATTTTTACCTCTATCTCCAGCTAGTTCAAATGCCCAAAGCTGTTTAAAGTTTGGTACAGTCAAGCAATCTCCTCTGCCAAAACATGTCAGTAAACTCAATTGTTCTCCATTGTAGCTGGTTAAGAGCTGTGCATCACTGTCTCCTCGGTGCAGCTGGAGCATACCCCCCTTAGCAATAAAGGAGACAAGCTCAGAGTGGGTGGGTCACAGGATCATGTGGCTTTGAAGCTTCAGAGCCAGGATTTCCAGGAAGGTCTGTAGGGCTCAAGAGCCCTCACTCCATGGCCATACAGACTGGCACCTGCCATTTGCAAATGCCTGACAATGTCTTAGCTTTTGAGCATAATGCAGACTCTTCAGAGACCTCATGACCTTTCAGGCCACCACTGGCCCCGAATTCATTTCCCTTCTCTCTCACTACCCACACGATGCTGCTTCCACGTGTGCCACTCTCCCCAGGAGATGGCCTCTTACTCCCAGGGAAGCTCGCTCAAAAACTGCTTGATGAGTTCATGAAAACATTTCCCCTTTCATCATCAGATGAATGATCATCAGTTGAATGGCTATTGGAAAGGAAGATGAAGAATGTGGGATTCCCAGAGAAGTCAAAGTCTTGCCTGGGGTCTCAGGAGGTCTCAGACACCTGGGAATGGAAGCCAAAGCCCCTCCCCGATTCCCGGAACAGAAGTCTTCCTCTTCCCCCACCTTCCTGGATTTCCCACTTCTGACCTAAAACCACCAGGGAGTTTGTGGAAGCGTCTCTTTCAAATTACTCCCCCACAGACACTTTTAAAAAGACCCTGCCACCAGACAGAACAAATTAGACATTAACAGGCAGCCAACTAGGGAAATGGGGAAACTCAGGGCACAAACAGATACAGCAAGCCCCTGACCCCAAGAAAGTAACACACATCAATCAAAGGCCTCCAAGGAAAGCAGCCTTTTCAGCTACAGACACCCACTATGGAAAAAGACCCTAAGGAGCTCGAAGACCAGGCTGGACACCAGCTCACTCACCCTGGTGAGACACCATGGTGGCCTGTGAGACTGAGGTTCACACAGCATTTTCCCCTCCCTTTGTTTCATTCAGAAGGACACTAAGGCCTTTATTCCCTCAGCTTGTCCAGACAAAAGCAAAATATCTGCCTGAAACATTAAGGGAAATGTAAGAGGGAAATTTCCCTGGAACTGGGAATTGAAGATTATACACACACACACACACACACACACACACACACACACAGAGAGAGAGAGAGAGAGAGAGAGAGAGAGAGAGAGAGAGAGAGAAATGATGAGAGCAGCTTGGGACAGGAGAACAACTCTCTACTTTTTTTTTTCTTCTCTAAGCACCAAGCCCAAGGGTTGTGTCACCTGAAACACCAAGTGTTGTGTGAACTGTCAAAGGCACACTGATGAGGGCCATAGAACTGAGGTTTGCCAGTCCCAGGTCTAGGCACCAAGACCCATGTGCCTAGACGGGGCACTATACCTTTGCCTAAAGGCACCCTTGAGGAATCAGGCCATCCACTGCAGCTGGTAGGGAACAATGAGGGAAAGAAACACATTACGACTGAGAAGGCTCTCAGACATGGAGGCACGTATTTGTAATCCCAGTACTCAGAGGATCATGAGTTCAAGGTCAGCCTCCAGTACTTAGATAGTTCAAGACCAGCCTGGTTTATATGAGTTTCTGCTCCCAAAAGTCAACAGAGGAAGAAAGGATAGGGAGAGGGAAAGTGGGAAGGGAAATAAAAAGAAAGGAAGGAAATATGTGCTAGTTTCTTTTTGTCAAGTTGAAACAAGCCAGGTTCATTTGGGAAGAGAACCTCAAATGAGAAAATGTTTCCATAAGACTGGCCTATAGGTAAGTCTGTGGGCCTTTGTTGTGGTGGTTATTGTTTTTCGATACAGGGTTTCTCGGTGTAGGCTTGGCCGTCCTGGACTCGCTTTGTAGACCAGGCTGGCCTTGAACTCACAGTGATCTGCCTGCTTCTGCCTCCCTGAGTGCTGGGATTACAGTTGTGCGCCAACACCACCACCCAGCTCTGTGGGCATTTTCTTGATTAATGAGTGACATAGGAGGGCCCAGCTCAGTGTAGGCAGAACCAACTCTGTACAAGTCAGTCTGGGGTTATATAAAAAAAGCAAGCCTACCAAGACATGGGAGCAAACTGCTAAGCAGCTGTTGCTGTTCCCTGGCCTCTGGTTCAGCTTCTGCCCATGGGTTCTCGCCCTGAGTTCCTACCCTGAGTTCCTTTCATGGTGTCATGGTGGCCTGGAAGCCGAAGTTGACCTTTTCTTTCCCAAGTTATTTTTGTTTCTTTGTTTGTTTGTTGTTTTGTTTTGTTGGCCATGGTGTTTTTGTCAGCAATGGAGAGCAAACTAGGACAGAAAGAAAATGATGCCATGTTTTGGGGGTTTGTTTTTCTGTTTGTTTGTTTGGTTGGTTGGTTGGTTGGTTGGTTGGTTGGTTGGTTGGTTTTGGTGTTGTTATTCCTTGGAATCAGATTCTGAGGAGAAGCCCCTCTGACAGCTAACTGGTGTATTAATAGTTAATCACAGGAAACAATGGTGAAGAAGCAAGCTCAGAAACAAAAGCAGCCAAGCGAGAGAAGCAAGGCCAGCAAAGATCCTTGGGATTCAACACAAAGTCATGCCACAGGACCTTTTGGTAAACAAAGGGTGTCAAGCCTCGCTGAACGTCCTAGTGAAATTCCTGAGAGCTGGCTAATGTTCTGAGGACCCACCAGTTGCTGGTCATCGGCTGCCTCTAGGGAGATGTGCAGTTGCAGCCGGCCCTTGCTCTGAGCTTGCAGCAGCAAAGCAGTGTAAAGGTCACCCTCCAGCGAAGACAGGGGGTGGCTTACAGCTGCCAGGGAAGTACTCAGGGCACGACGTGACAGGATAGCAGAGCGCACCATGAAAGGACAGCGCTCAAACACCTCTGAGGCTAAATGAGAGTTGGAGAATATAACTCAGAAATCACATCTGCCTCTATCCACTCTTCCTTGGCATCACCCTAACAATGATATTATAGAGCTACATGCTTCGTTGAAGTTGGGCTGCAGACAAACCAGCACTCCAGCCGCCCCTCCCCCTAGGGTTCTGCCACCTGCCCCAGGAATAACATGTGCCTGCCTATGGCTCTGGGCACCTCAGCCCCCCACCAACCCGGCGGATCACCTCTGTGAGAAGCAGCAGACCCCATTCTGCGGCCCCCAACACAATTGCCACAGCGCAGGTCTCCCTGATGCCATGTGTTGTAAGAGCTGTTGACAGTGGGACCTAGCTTCCACTTGACAACCATCAGAGTGGTCTGGACTCAGAAGGAGTGAGGTGGAGAAATGACTCACTGTCAGGAGCAGCGAATAGCAACCTGATTCCCTACACAACTTGGCACCCCCACTCCCAGAAGGCAAGATACTCTTGGGAGGTGTCCCCAGACGCCTCTGCCCAGCCCGGGTGCTGCCTTATCCTTTCTCCACCACACCTCGCCCCCAGAGCCAGACGTGAAAAGGAGTGAAAACGTGGGGCTATATTTGAACTGAATTGATGGTTCTGTTTCTCCCGCTCTGATTTCTCCTGTTAATTCCCAAACACTTTGCTAATAGTGTTTTGTTTTGTTTCCCTAATCTCCCTTTGTTCTTCTGCGTCTCTCTAGCTAGGGACAGTCCTGGAGAGTAGGGGCTGAAGAAACTATTCCACCGCTCTCGGGCAAGCAGGTGGCTCTAGAGCTTCAAAGCAGAGATGCTTTCAGGAAAGGACGGACCGAGGGAGGTCATTAGTGCCTGGCACATGAAACCGATTAATCAGTGACGGCTCCCTCTCCGGTGCCCCTGGGTTTTTCCAGGAATGGCGCTCTGGATGCGCAGAGAGGGGAGCAGCTCAAGCCGGCGTCACCCCTTAGGCAAGCGAGCTTCCCGTGGTGCAGAGGGGTTGCACAAGTGCATGCGTGCACACAACACGGGCACGCATGCACGGCGCATCCCCGTGGGGTCCGCCTCTGCTGGGGTTCCCACCAGCAGTCGCCGGGGTCGGGGGGCGCTTACCCGGGATGGAAGGCGCAGGGCGGCTGGGTGCCGGCGGAGCGGGGGTCGAGGGCGGCGGCGGCGGGCGCAGGGCGGGCGCGGCTGGCATGGCTGGCGGCCTGGCTGCAGGTGGCAGCTCCGGGACGTGGCCCGACGGCGGCCGAGCGGGCGCGGGAAGGTTCGGGGACTACTCGCTGAACCAAGCGGCTCCGGTGTGTCTCCTCTTCCCTTTGGTGGGCGCAGGCGGCAGCAACAGCGCAGGGACTGTCTCCCTGCGAGCTTGACAACCGTTCGCCGCCGCCGCCGCCGACACCGCCCTCCAGCCCCGCCCCGCCCCGCCCCACCCCACCTCTCCCTAGGCCGCCTAGGGGCGGTGGAGTTGGCGGTGAACTTGAGTGAGGAGGGCGCCTTCTGAGCTAGCAGGACAGCTAGGACTCCAGAGGACCTTTCTCTCTTGTCTCCTCCTCTCCTCCCTTCTCTCTCCCCCTTCTCTTCTTCCTTCCTCTTTTCCCTCCTCAAGGCTGTTCCAGCCAAGGAACTTGGGGACTGGTTTTGACCTGTGTCTCCATGGTGCCCTCCATGGGTGACTTCCATGTCAAGGAGGCCTGGAACCTCAACGAGCTGCCTCTCCCTGCAGGGCAGAGGCCACACTGCAAGTACTCCACCAAGCGTCCTTCTTGCACCCAGAGTCAAAGTTAGGACACGGTTGTCCGAACCCACAGGCTAGAGACACACTGCGGAATGTCCTCCCGTCTGGGGGTCCTGGCTGACCAAAGGCCTTTTCTGAAATGGCCTATTCTCAGCACCACACACCTAAGCTCCATAGTCTCAAGCCTGTAACGGCCACTCCTTCTAGTCATGCCATTTGTATTTGCGGGGAGGGAGAAGCGTCAGATAGACTGAGCTTTGGGGATTAGATGATGCGGTTTCTGCCTTGCAAAGCGGCTGGATGGATCACCATCGTGTATGCAAGGTTTGAATACACCCAGCAGGAGAGAGGGAGCTCTCAGTTCAAGACAACACACCACAGAGAAGTGTAGTTAGTCCACACCTTGGCGCGTGCTGTGAGGGAAATTGCTTTCACCTAATCACAGCCCAGTTTTTCCCTCCTGACCTATTAACAGAACCCCAATTTTTAACTGAACACATGTAACCTGTAATAAAAATATATATATTTCCCAGCTGCCCTGGGGCCAAAATGACCATAAGAAAAGATTTTGACCATTGAACTATAACTGGGAAGATTTGTATGGAACTCTCAAAATGTTTCTGAGGCTCATGGATGCCTTCCAACCTCATGCCTTGTCCTGGCATTCAACAACGATGTCTATGGAATGTTCTATTAATGGAGCAATTTTTGTTCCATTTTTTTTAAACAGAATTAGGCAACCTACTTGTATTAGACAGTCTTCCATTGCTGTGACAAAATGCTCAAGCTAACCAAACCAGAAATCTTTAAATTGTTTTAAATTATGCATACAGTTGTGTGTGGGAGGTGCACGTTAAGTGGAGCTCCCCACAGAGTCCAGCAAAGGGTGTCAAATCCCCTGGAACCCAAGTTACAAGTAGTTCTGAACTTAGTACTTCATGTGGTGCCAAGAACCAAATCCAAGTCCTCTACAAGAGAAGTAAGCACACTTAACCATTAAGGCATCTCTCTAGCCCCCTGAACAAGCCACCTAAAATGGAGGAGCTATTTGGGTTGACTCACAGGCTCAGAGGTTTCAGGCCATGTTGGCTTGCTCAGCCCTGGAGGCCACATAGCATGTCACAGCAAGTACCCAAGGAGGAAGAGACCTATTCATAACATGACAGCCAGGAAGCAAAGACAAGAAGGTGCTAGGGCCCAGGATCCCTTCAAGGATGTGACCTTAATGACCTAACTTCCTCCCACTAATTGCCACACCCAAATAGCCAGACACCTCCTACTAGCACTACAGGCTAGGGAACAAGCCTTCAACCCCTAGACTTTAGAGGAAGATCCCAGATCTAAATCACAGCAACATTCTTTGTACCTCACAGCACAGCATTTCCCTGCATCATGCCTTTAATTATATCCATCTTACACGACCGATTGGATGCTATTGGAATTGCACCCTCCTGGATTAACTCTCTAGGATCTGCTCCTGCCAATAGTGGAGTGGCTACTGCCCAAGGAGAAACAAGAGCCAGGTCCCAGCATCAACCTGAACCTAACATTTGACCGGATATGAGGCAACCCCGCAGGATTGTAGACTCAGAAGTGACACAGATAAATGCCCACATTTGCAAACAACTAAATTCTGAGCTACTTTGCCCCTCAAGGTCGTTACAGCAAAAGCTAGCTAATATGGTGGCCACTGATGGCTGGAGCTCTGGAGGCCTTCATAGATTATATGTTTGCCTTAAAGTTTTAAGACAAGACCAAAAAAAAAAAAAAAAAAAAAAAAAGGGAGAGTAATAAAATAGAGGCCTGGATCCCTTATGACATCACAAAGCTATGTCAATTTTAGATTTCCCTTTTAAGAGAGAATACAACCTCGAATATTTAAGCCACTACAGTTTTTTAAATTTCTTTATTTTATATATATCCGATGTATCCCCCTCCCTCATCTTCTCCCAGTCCCCCTCCCTCCCTTCCCCTCATCCCTTCCCCAGTCCACTGAAGGGGAGAGATCTCCTCCCCTGCCCTCTGACCCTTGCTTATCAAGTCTCATCAGGGCTGCCTGCATCCTCTTCCTCTGTGTTCTGTCAAGGCCACACTGCCAGGAGGAAGCAATCAAAGAGCAGGCAACCAAGTTCATGTCAGAGACAGTCCCTGCTTCCTTTACTAGGGAACCCTAACTGAGATAGCTGTCTTTGGGCCACAATTGAGCAGAGGGTCTGGGTCCTCTCCATGCAGGTCCTTAGTTGCTGCATCAGTCTTGGCAGGGCCCCCTGGGACCAGATATTTGGCTTCATTGGTCTCCTTGTGGAGCTCCTGTCCCCTCTGGGTCCTTCTCTCCTCCCCTTCTTTCATAAGACTCCCTGAACTCTGCCCCAAGTTTGGCTGTGAGTCTCTGCATCTTCTTCAATCCCCTGTTGGATGGAGTCTTTCAGAGGACAACTTTGGTAGGCTCCCATCCTGTTCCCTCTCTTCTACCACTTCTGGTGTCTATCCTGTTTGCCTTCTGAATGAAACTTAAGCATCCTCCCTAGGGTCCTCCTAGTTGTTTAACTTCTTTAGGTCTGTAGATTTTAGTATGTTTATCCTATATTATATGTCTAATATCTACTTATGAGTGAGTACATACTATGTGTGTCTTTCTGGTTCTGGGTTACCTCACTCAGGATGATCTTTTCTATTCCATCCATTTGCCTGCAAATTTCATGATTTTTCTTGTTTTTAATTGCTGAGTAGTATTCCATTGTGTAAATGTGCCACAATTTCTGTATCTATTCTTCAGTTGACGGACACCTAGGTTGTTTCCAGATTCTGGCTATTATGAATAAAGCTGCTATGAACAGTCTTGTTACCTGAAAAATGGTATTTTTGTCAATCTTTCAAAAAAAAAGTGTTTTCTTTTTACACAAAAAGAAACACTGAATACAGACTAGGCAGTCATTTAAGTGCAGAACAGAGGTCTAAGAGGGAACACCATGCTCACAGTGAGCCACTGAGCTAGAAATCATTCACCATAGCTCAAGGGAGTAGAACAGTAGCCAGGGAGCCTAGCCAAGGCAGAGAGCTGCTTTGGTCTCGAGTGAGCAAAATTCACTCACGGAGCTCGTTACATGAAGAGTCAAAGGCATTTGAGGATGTCCAGGGAACCCTCCGAGGCGGGAAGAGACCACTGAGTGGTTCGAGCATGTGCCACACAGGCTTTGGGCTAGAGTTTGGATCTCCAGAGCCTACCTAAGTGCCAGGCTGGAAGGGCAGCTCCCCTAATATTCCAGCTGCAGAGGCAGAGACAGGGTCTCTGGGGAAGCTAGCTAACAAGACGGCCATATTATCCAGCTAAGGTCTGGGTTCAAAAGACCCTGTTCAAGAATGTTCAAGAATAATTCCCAAATCAACACCACACCTCTACACACATTCACAACTCACCCCACACACACATAAACACACACAGGCCAACACAAGTACATACATACACACACACACATATGTGCCCACACATACGCACACTCTACACAGAGATACATGAAAATGGAAAAATAAAGTTTAAAGAAAAAACCTCCAAGTCATTCAAAAGCAGCATGGTGGGGTTCCATGGCCTTGCTTTGAAATGCCCCTCACAACTGCCATGTCTCAGGATCCACCTTCTCCAGGGAAAGGACACAATCACCCCAGTTTATAAGTAGCCAGCCGCCGGTCTCCTCCTTTGGAACAGACTTCCCTGTCCCTCTCTGTTCAAAACACCCACAGCACAGTGGGAAAGATGAGGGGAGTAAAGGGGTGGCCGTCACACTGGAATCTGCAGGGCACTGTGAGACCAGAGAGGAAGTTAAAGAAGGTGGGAAAACTGATGAGCAGATCCAGGACGCCTGGTAGGCTTTGCGAGGAAGGACTTGGGAATGTTTGTACGAAAGCCACCCTGACGGCCATGCCGCTGTGTGTTTAAGGGTGGCTTGGAAGAGAGATTTGATGGAGGTCATGGAACCTCTGAGAGGAACCTCCTTGTTCCCAGAATTACATGGGAGTTCGGGGGTGGGGGCTCCAGGTGGAAGCTTCCAAAAGGGGGACATGGGAATCTTCCATGATAGAGTGCACTAGTCTAATGAGCCTGCGGTGTTGTCAAGTCTTCTCAACAGATTGACAGGACTTTCTGACATGTCTCCCCCCTTAACTATACCGTCATCCTCTCCTCCCCAGGGAAAACTGAGATCTCTTCTCTTCCCTTTTCCTCTTCTCTTCTCTTCTCCTCTTCCTCTTCTCTCTTTTTGAAACAAGATCCCTTGTATCCCAGTGTGGCCTCAAACTCCCCATATAGCCATGGATGGCTTTGGATCTCTGATCCCCCTGGCTCTTGGAGTACAGGTGTGTACTACATGGTACAGGGAGCTAAAGACACTGCCCAGTTCATGCAGTGGTGGGAACAAAATCCAGAGCTTCCCGAAAGCTAGGTAGATACTCTGTCCTGGCTCCAGCAGCAGCCAGTCACC